AAACTTTTGATACATTAAAAGTAAAATTCAATTGGAAATCCATCTCTTAATGGGATGCCTGGGTTTTTTTGACCTAAAAATTGATATTATTTATTAAATGAATGAGAAACAGTTTAGGAACAATTTTTTCCAATTCATTTTCTTTTTATACATAAATTTAATAACAAATATGTTTGATAAAATAAATAAGATGTTATTGGAATCATTTCATCATAGTTCAGTACCATTTTTTAATACTTTTAGAATGACAAGAACCATATAATGACCTTTTATCACAGTATTTTAATGATCTAATAAATGATAATTCCGTTGGATTCTTCTTTATTTTTCTTGAAAGCAATAAAATTGATACCATTTGTCTTACACTAGAGTATGGTACCCAGTCATAGGTGTCATTCACTTTATCAAAATTTATGCCAATCTTTTCAGGAGTCCCTTTTTTTTTTGTTTCTCAGAAAGTTTTACAGATTGTGGTATATCATGGAAAAATTCCAATGTCTTTAAAAGATAGGCCTTGTGTTTTTTTCTTTTGCTTTTTTAAAATTAAAATTTAATTTTTTGGTAAAGTTAGTAAATAAGACCACGTAAAGCAAGAAAAAGTGGTATGTCAGAGACAATGCAAAACAAAGTACACACTTGGAAAAGCAATTTAAGCAGAGAAACTTTATGGTCATTTAATATCTAAAAGTTTATTCCCTTAAAACTATTTGTGCTCAGGCACTTCTAGGAATGTTTTCATTTCTCTAGGGGACCATAAACTTAGTTTGAAGAGCACTAGATTAGATGGCCACTAGTGTCAGTTTATATAAAACCAACGTGGCTGTTCTGGAAAAATTCTGATAAAATCTCACTGTCATATATCAGAAAACAATTTCTTCTGAAGTGAAACCTAAAGACTTGTGAGTAACTGTAGATGTCTCTCACTGAAGAGTGAATAATTACTTTCTTCATTTATTCAAGTAATATTTTTGAACATCTATTACACCTAAATATAATAAAATTTTGTATTTAAACACAACATGGGGAATAAATCTAAAAACTTAACAATAGATGTTGCAGTAATTTCTTGGGCCTGGTCTAATATTCCCTTCTAGGTTTTAAATGTCATCAGCAGATGGATATACCATGTAAACCACAAGTCAAAAGCATGACATGGATGAATAAGCTTTGAATATATAATCAAATCTCATTTTTAGTAAGATGATTTTCACAGTCACTTGTTCTGGGGACACGAATGTCTAGCAGCAATACTCAGAGTTCAGATCATTTTTAGTAGATTTATTTCACAGTTGTTCAAGAATTCAAGACTTAGAAAAATAAACAATAATAGTTGCATGATTATAAAAATATTATGTTAGAACATTATCTAATAAATCATTTTGGCTATCTTCTGACTCTCTCAAAAACTGTGACTTTGAGTAACAATTTCCAAATGACAAAACTACAGATGTTTGTAGCCCTTTAAGGTTAAGGATAACACTACACTCTCTAATACGGTGACCACCAGATACACATGGCTACTGAGCCCTTGAAATGTGGCTAGTTTGAATTGACATGTATTGTAATGAAATGTGACAAGATTTTGAATATCAAACATGAAAAAAAATAAATGTGGAATATATTATTATTTCTAATAGGGTACACATTGAAATGATAACATGATAGATATATTGGGTTACACAAGATATACTTTGAAAGTTATTTGCACCTCTTTTTTGCTTTTTAATATTGTTACTAAAAAATTATAACTAACTGTGCTTGTATTATATATCTATTGTATAGCACTAGGTTAGAAGTTAAAATGTGGAAACTAACATGAAATTATAGTGAGAATAATGAATTTGACAAAGTTTGTCAGTATTTCTCTATTTAATGTATTCCATTGGTCTAAGGCAATGATTTTCAACCCAGTGTGCACACTGGTGTGCCACAAGAATTTTTAAAACATACAATACTTGACTATTTAGTCAAGGGCACTGACCTCATTTTCTTTAAATTGTCGTATAAAAAAAAAATTACAACAGCCAACACAACAGTAGCCATTTGGTATGAATGAATAAAAATTATACCTTTTTGTTTGTTTGTTAGATCAGTACAAAATATAATATATTTTTTGGTGTGCTGTAGAATTCTAGTAATTAGTTTATGTGTGCCATGAAATTAAAAAAAGGTTGAAAATCTCTGGTCTAAGGTTATGAAATTTCTAACATGAAGTGCAGAGAAAAAAAATCTTAGGTTTAGGCAACTAAAAAAAATATATATGAAAGAAACACAAATCATGATATTATAATGACTAAGCCTAGCTTCTAAGATGAGAGGCATAGAAATACAATCAGGTTAGAAATCTATAATCATGAAAAATTCACCCCAAATGCTCATTTTTAAACATAAACAACATGTAAAATGTTTTTATATTTTGTTAATAAATGCAGAAGTATTCAAATATACAAATATTTAAACTTTCTTAGTATTCTTGGTAAGGGTGAATTGTTAGACAAGTTAAATTAGTTTTGTATTTTTACAAAGAATTTTTTAAATCTTTTGTCTGACATTATTCCAGCATGCAATATAAAGCCAAAATAATATTTTAATATATGGAAGTCTTGAGATAATTTTATCATTAAAAATGTAATAATGTTTAGCTTCAAAAATTTTTATACTGATTTTATTTGTCAGATAAATTAAAAATGTTTCAAAAAATATTTAAGTTTATGTGAAGGTATGTGGTTGTTGCTACTGGGCTGTTATTGTGATTCCAGACACAATAGGTCTGAGGCCACCTTCACTACTTGAGCCAGATTAAGCAGAGACAGAGTTAAATCACATATGAATGTTTACTCCAATCATGCCAGCAGTATGGGGAGAGCAGTTGGCACCCTGGAAATTCTGCTCTGACTCTCTCACCAGTTGGCTGATTATAAACAGACAAGGAAGAATATAACTTCATGCAGCTGCAAGCCGCAAGTGTAACAGGAAAAGGGGAGGGAAGGGTTGCTTCAAGTTCATTTTATCTTTTCTTATTATGCTTATTATTTGCAAAAAGTTCTTAGGTAGCTTGATGGAATTGGGTTGCTTTTCCTATAGCAGCAGCCTGGGCTACCTTCTACCTGAATTGGTGTAATACATTTAGCATCTCTAAAAAATTTGATATTAAATTCAATGTCCTCCCACATATCTCATTTGAAATAATTTACAGAGGGTCAATAAATCAGCTCTTTAAATTTTATGGAATAGAAAATATTTCTGTAATAAAATGTGACCAGTATAGTTTTTATATTCTAGGCACTGAATAAATTAGGCACAAACATTTACCAACACAAATTTTCCAAAACCAAATTTATTTTGAAATATGAACATATCATGCCATTTCTTAAGTCATGAAGCCTATACAAATACACACACCTACACATGTACATTCACACAAATAAAATAAACAGTTTTGTCTAAGGAAAGAAAATAATAGGAAAGGTAAAAGAACAAAGAATAAGGGCAGATTTCTGGATTCAATCTTTATTTGATTTCCATTTAAATTTGGCCATTGTCTGTAGTTCATGATCTGTGACGATAAAATTCAGTTGATAGCTCTGAACAAGAGGTTATTATTGATATCATGTGCTCTTCCTCAAAAACTGGCATCATCCCAAGATGTATTGTTCCCCCTTATGCTGTTTTGGGAGATTATCAAGTCTGTACCATCCACTGAAAAAAAAAAAAGTCTCCTTTGATACACATTCCTGCCCATTTCCTTGATTTTTTTTAACATTAGATTTCTTGGTCCTAATTTTCCATACTCTGACATTACATATACCTTTGAGTCTACAATTTACCTATACCAGCTAATTCATTTTTCTATAAAGAAACATGCTAACTTCTGGGCTCTGGTAAAAGACATGAGAAAAAAGGGAGGAAAAGTATATTAGAGAAGGAAGACATCCGTCCTTCACTTACTCTTGGCCTTTTACCTCTTAATCCCCCCTCCCACTATGCTCCTTCCATGGAAGCTCTGCCTATTTTTATTCAAATCTAAGTTGGTCCTGTTATTGGCCATCTACACCATGAGCTTAGTGATGAGGAGCTGTGACCAATATTATGGCTGCCTTTCAAACTGATATTTCTGAGAAAGCCTATCTGGTTTCAATAAAATAATCTGTTGATATTAAGGCCGTATCCCTTTATGAGTCTGTTCTAGTAAAAAATCCATGATGCTAAAGGGAATCTGCCTGTAGGAATTAAGTCACATTAAGGACATTGGGATGTAAAAAAGTCTTTTCTGGTTAGAAAAATGAGTTTCTAATCCTTCAAATATGATCTGTAGACTTACTTAAAATTTAATTCTAAATACTAAAGACTTCTAGCAAGGCAGGGACCTTCTTCTAGCTGTGGGCAGGGGGGTGGATCTAAACACCTTAGCCCAGTATTTAGACTCTGCATGTGCTCATTAGGTCTGCTGAAATCGTGCTGAATACTGATTAGGTAAACCTGAATAACTAAGAAACTTGCTCTGTATCCACCCTCCCTGAAAGATTTGCCAGACTTTGCAAGAGAAAGTCAGAGCACATCTAGCCAGTAGGGGGAGCCAGGGCCATGGAGCTAGTGTTAACCTGACCACCTAAGTGGAGCTAAGAGAACAGTTGGTGGGAACAACAACTAAGTGTTTCCTTCTAACTTATTTTACCAACCCAATGGAGAGAATAATATCCAAAAAGAAAAAAAGACAACTTAAAGAGAACTTTACTCAACTGATGAAGCTTGTACTACTGGCATAGCTGGTAAAATGTGCTAGAATTTAATCAACTCATATCCATATCTCTTTTAAATAGAATACTTACTGCTAGCTCCTCCTAGCCAAAAGTCTGCTAACAGCCAAGATTACGTCATACAGACTTAAAAATATGCTGGTGTTTTATTTTACAGTCTCTATTTCTCACTTCTTACTGTACTCTCCCTGTAAGACTATGGCTGTAAGTTCTGAGTAATTTAACACAACCATTCTTTGATCATTAATGCATGTTTCTTCTGGAGAGAAGGTGAATAATTCCCTGGCGGATCTGCTTCGTCTTTACACTGTAAATGATGGGGTTCATCACAGGAGGTGCCAACAGGTAGATATTGGCCATGATGACATGGACCAGTGGAGAGGCATGCTTGGCAAAGCGGTGGGTCATAGATACACCAACCATGGGGACATAGAGAACCAGAACAGCCAGAATGTGGGACAGGCAGTTGTTGAGGGCCCGGAGCCGCTCAGTCCATGTGGATGTGCCCAAGATGCTTTTCAGGATGAGTGCGTAGGAGAACACAATGAGCAGAGGGTCCATCACAATGATGAGCAAAACCAGAGCAAATCCGTACCAGCTGTTGAACCGGGTGTCACCACAGACCAGGTGGATCATGTCCTGGTGGAGGCAGTAGGAGTGAGAGAGAAGGTGGGAGCGGCAGAAGGGCAGGCGTTTGAGCAGGAAAAGGGAGGGGAGGACGGCCAGAACACAGCGGAAAATGATGGCTAGCCCCATCCTGCCGACGACTTCCCTGGTGAGGATGGTGGCGTAGTGGAGGGGGCGGCAGATGGCCACATAGCGGTCGAAGGACATGGCCAACAACACAGAAGATTCCATAAAGGAGAATGTATGGATAAAAAATACCTGTGCAAAGCAAGCTTTGAAGCTGATTGCTCGAGCATTGAACCAGAGGAGCTGCATGACAGTGGGCAGGGTGGCGAGGGCGAGCCCCAGGTCAGTGAGGGCCAGCATGGAGAGGAGCAGGTACATGGGCTGGTGCAGGGACGGCTGGGTGCGGATGACAGTGAGGACGGCGGCGTTGCCCATGATGGAGAGGGTGTAGAGACAGCAGAAGGGGATGGAGATCCAGGTGTGGGAGGCCTCAAATCCAGGGATGCCCGTGAGTGTGAAGGAGAAGGGGCCATCGGTGGTGTTGGTCACCTCGGACATGACCAGGGAATGTAGCTTCATGTTCAGGGTCTTTGCTCAGAGAGAACACAAACAATATTTTTGCCCCATTTGACCTAAACTCCATCCAAATTAAGGTTCAGAGTTGTTGGATAACTAAGAAAAGATTGAAGAACATGATGATTGCTCATCCTTAACCTATCTCTGCAGAGACTGCTTTCACACAACTAGTATTCCCTGATAACACATTAACTCATGAGAAACACTTTTTTAATTTTCCGGCTTCTATTTTACCACTCCCATTTAGTTCTTAGAACCCTGGAACCTGCCTTTCATCCAAATTCTGCTACCAAGACCAGTCTCACAAAGACTTAAGCTGAACTCCTAACTGAAAATGTAACGACCAATAGTTGTTTTTAATCCAGAGTCTCCTTTTAAATTTTCTTTTTTCTTTGATAACAACATTCTCACCTGTTTCTCTTGTTCTCAAGTCATCACAATTTCTTTCAATATCTCCTGTTCATTTCATCATACACTTGGGTCAGATTTACTCTAGGTTAGTGCTTCTTCCTGATCTGTCTTCTTATTCACATGAGTTAATGTGACCTGATGCTATGGGTTGCATTCATGCAATATCAAAATGACAGTGGGAGCAAAAGGCAGGGTGTCTAGCCGAGAAGTGAGAATAGAGCCCAGGTGAGGACTATCGCCTTTATTGATTGCTTTCTATGCTTAGGCACTACTCTAAGTGCATTACTGGTATTAACTTTTTGCATTTTTTTAGCAGGAGTCATCACCCCTCCTTCTTTATCCTGAACATACACGGAGGAGTCTTACCTGTGGTTTCTCCTGCTTAGTGGTGTCCTCTTCTTTATAGGTAGATTTTGTTTTCTGTGTTTTACCCACAGGATAGCTAAATTATAAGCTCTTGCAAATCTCTAGGCTAGAAGGTGTTGGGAGTGTGGCAGGTCCCTTCAGGATTACAATGAAGAAGCATCTTGAGACCTGGGGGCCCACTGGGAAGCCAGGATGTCAGCTCTGTCCCTGGGAGCCTTTGCTGCCCCTGGTATCCTCATAGGGCAATGAGTCAGAAAGCCACATGGAAATCCTGTTCTTTAGAATTTGTTGAATATGATTTGAAATGATATGCTTGTGCTTGAAATGTACAATCTCTCAAAAAATCAATTCTAAGAAACATTCTCCCGTAAGCAGTCTGAAGTTGGGGCAGAGTTGGAAGGGACAGGAGAGCTGCAGGTCAAAGGAATGTTGGGCATCACTTTCAAGAAGCATTCACCTCGCTGTGAACCTCTGGCAGTACAAGGATCAACTTTTCTAATATATTTGTCAAATAAGTAAATGGTGAGAGCCCTATCAAAACTGAACTGGAAAGGAAAATTGTTCAATAATTACTCAGTTATTTGGTGGCTCACTTCATGATTCACACAAAGTTATATTCCAAATGAATAAAGCAATTCAGTGTAAGTCACTAACAACAAAAAAAGAGAAAACAATATAAGCATTTTAATTTTTCATTGTGGAGGACTAGCTAAACATAACAGCAAGAGAAACACATCACAGATAGAAAGATTAGTGGATATGATCACAAAAAATTAGATTTTCCTCTGTAATAAAAATAGATGAAATTTAAAATAAACTTTCAAAATCATTTATGAAAATATGCCATAGAAAGAGTTGATATCTTAAATATAAAAATAAATATATTAATATTTATCATTACCAGTAGCACAACAGATTACTAAGAAGGACTATAACAAAGTACACAGACATAAGAAAATAGAACTACAGGCAAGCATATTGCATATGCTTCACAATAAAATATGTATTATAATACCACCTTACCCAAGAATGCAATAACAAAAAATTAAATTATGAAACCAACGTTTTATTTTTATTTATTTATTTTAAAAATATATCTTTATTGATTTCAGAGAGAGGGAGAGAGAAGGAGAGAGATAGAAACATCAATGATGAAGGAGTCATTGATTGAGCCTGCAACCCGGGCATGTGCCCTGACCAGGAATCGAACCCCTATCACCTGGATCCTAGGTCAACGCTCAACCACTGAGCCACGCCTGGCCTGGCTGAAACCAATGTTTTAAACCTTTTGAAATAGCAGAGGTGTTTTTTTTATAACATCATGCTATGCATGTAAGACCATAATAATGTAGAAATATTTGTACTTTACCGAGAGAGTAAAATATGTGTAATAATTTCTGGAAAATCATTTGACCATAATTACCACATTAAATCATTCGCCCACTCTGAGTCATGAAATTCAATTCTGGATGAAGTAATGAAGACATCATTTTAAATGAGAATAAAACTTTACCCTAAAAATAGTTGTTTTGCCTTATATAACAAAATAACAAAAAAGTAAAATGATACTAAGTGGTCAATTATATTTATATTTATATAATAATATTTATATATGTATATACTATTAATATATAAATATATAATAGTATATATATTTAGTGTATATATAGTATATATACTATTATATATTTATAATTTATTATATATTTATATATACTTGTATTATCTTTACATATAATATTTATATATATTTATATTATCATTGGGGTTCTTTCATTTCTATAAAGAAGTCAGTTGATGCTATCACTTTTGATCCTTTAAAGATAATGAGACATTTTTCTCTGTGCTGCATTAAATCTATTTCTCATTTTCCTTGGTTTCTGTCAACTTAAATATAATATCATAGGCATGATGTGGGTCACATACTAAGTGAGTTGCACCCTAAGATGAGATTCAAGTCCCAGGCATCCCCTTGGAAACGGTGCTAAGATTCGGGCCCCAACACTGTTGATGAAATCTCGTTAAATCATAAGAACATATTCTGAGATACACCTAAATATGTGGTGGGACACTTATTTAAAAAATTATTATAGACTCCTAAAAGATTAAGACTTTTCTATAAGGATTATTAATCTGTATGCAGTTCTGAGACTTAATTCTCTCTATTCTCTGGATTCTTTCTGTTATTAAGAACAACGTGTACAATCTTGTTCATAGTGCTTGAGAAGTGAAAGGTGAGAAGTGTAATACAAGAGACATCCTAGATCTACTAGGTGGGTTAGTGGGCATCCTTAGACTCTCTCTCTCTCTCAAATACACACACACACACACACACACACACACACACACACACACACACACACACCTGTGGATAACAATTGAAAATATCACTGAATGAGATTAGTGAGTGGAAGAAAAGAACTTTTATACTCTGTATTCCAAACAGTGGTGTTTCTTTATTTACATAAAATCTCTTTCCACCTGGCCAGGTGTGGCTCAGCGGTTGAGTGTCGACCTAGGATCCAGGAGACCATGGTTCAATTCCTGGTCAGGGCACATGCCCAGGTTGCAGGCTCGATGCCCAGTCAAGGACGTGCAGGAGGCAGCCGATGAATGACTCTCTCATCACTGATGTTTCTCTCTCTCTTCCTCTCCCTTCCTCTCTCTGAAATCAATAAAGATATATTTAAAAAAGAAATAAAAATCTCTTTCCACAACACTTATTCCTTACCCCTGTCTGATACTATTTACAGTTTTATTGAGAGTGTTTCCTCCTCTTTATTTCATGTTCCTTTAGCAAAAGTATTCCTGCACATCGAAGGCAGTGTGCCTGTGTTTTCTATGTAATATTCATTAATACCAGTTATGAAGACATACTTCTGTACATTTTATAAAGAAGAAGCTGTGACTCCAAAAAGTTAAACAACTCTCTCAGCTCATTTATTAACAAGTCATGGCAAATCAAAGGCTTGCAACAAAATCGGTGCACAATTTGAGCCAGTTCAGAAAACAAGTCTAATCGTAACCAAATCTTAGTTGTTTCAACACATTCACACTCAACATTCAAGCTCATTTTATGTTTATCTTCCAGATATTGTCTGTCTCATAACTTTTACCTCCATCTACCACCTTCTTTCAGCAGTAGTTGCCATCTCTGTGAATCATAATTCTACCCTTGACTTTGAACTTTGCTGTGAATATTAGTTCAACAGTTTCTCAAACCCCCAAGCAATTTGCACTTTGCTTTTGATGTTTGGTGTTCATTATTTTTCGCAAGTAGAACTGATGTCCACATGGTCTTTCTTTTTTCAATTTGACCCCCTAGTTTCTGAAGGTTCTCTTTTATTATTGCAAGTTGAGATTACATGAGCATCTGTTTTTAACTAAAAGCTGACATTTGCTTTAGGAGTTTTTTACAAGGTCTGAACATGTTACAGCCTGCATAGATATTTTTGTACAGTACCCAGCACTTTAAATTTATAAAGCATAATTTTATAGTTTACCACACCTTAATAACAACATCTCTGTGAAGAAAGCAGAATGGGGATTATATTTTTAAAAATACTTTTTTCTCAAAGTCGGGTGGCTAGTGAAGAGTAAATAAAGGCGAGTTTAAGAAACTAGGTCCTTTAGTTTCTAGTCAAAGAAAAATTATTTCAATTATTTCACATTGGAGCCCTCTTATACAGAACCTATTCCTTACTCCATCTATGCTACCTGCAGTTTTGACGGTGGTGTCTCTGCTTAAGTATTTACATAAAAGTACTTCTGTAAACTTAGATTCCAATAGTTAGTGCATTTTCCTCTGGAAGAGTAAACGGAACATTCCCTGGCGGATCTGCTTCGTCTTTACACTGTAAATGATGGGGTTCATCACAGGAGGTGCCAACAGGTAGATATTGGCCATGATGACATGGACCAGTGGAGAGGCATGCTTGGCAAAGCGGTGGGTCATAGATACACCAACCATGGGGACATAGAGAACCAGAACAGCCAGAATGTGGGACAGGCAGTTGTTGAGGGCCCGGAGCCGCTCAGTCCATGTGGATGTGCCCAAGATGCTTTTCAGGATGAGTGCGTAGGAGAACACAATGAGCAGAGGGTCCATCACAATGATGAGCAAAACCAGAGCAAATCCGTACCAGCTGTTGAACCGGGTGTCACCACAGACCAGGTGGATCATGTCCTGGTGGAGGCAGTAGGAGTGAGAGAGAAGGTGGGAGCGG